TGAAGACGTATATTCTCACCAAAAAACAAACGTGTAACGAAACAAAACGACTTTGAAGACGTATATTCTCACAAAGAACCAACGTGTAACGAAACAAAACGACTTTGAAGACGTATATTCTCACAAAGAACCAACGTGTAACGAAACAAAACGACTTTGAAGACGTATATTCTCACAAAGTACCAACGTGTAACGAAACAAAACGATTTTGAAGACGTATATTCTCACAAAGAACCAACGTGTAACGAAACAAAACGACTTTGAAGACGTATATTCTCACAAAGAACCAACGTGTAACGAAACAAAACGACTTTGAAGACGTATATTCTCACAAAGAACCAACGTGTAACGAAACAAAACGACTTTGAAGACGTATATTCTCACAAAGAACCAACGTGTAACGAAACAAAACGACTTTGAAGACGTATATTCTCACAAAGTACCATCGTGTAACGAAACAAAACCACTTACTTTGAAGACGTATATTCTCTCAAAAAACAAACGTGTAATGAAACAAAACGACTTTGAAGACGTATATTCTCACAAAGAACAAACGTGTAACGAAACAAAACGACTTTGAAGACGTATATACCCTCAAAGAACCAACGTGTAACGAAACAAAACGATTTTGAAGACGTATATTCTCACAAAGAACCATCATGTAGACGTTATAAAACGACGTAATCACGTATATTCTCTCAAAGAACTATCCTGTATACGTAACAAAACGACTTGGTGACGTATATTCTCACAAACAACTATCCTGTAGACGTAACAAAACGACTTGGTGACGTATATTCTCACAAACAACCATCATGTAGACGTAACAAAACGCAGCTGAAATCGAAAGTCGTTTGTTGATGTAATGCTGCTATAGATTATATCACCCACCCCCGGGATTGGCGTCAGTAATGTGGGCAGGGGGCGGGGGAGGTTGGCTAGTATACCAGGAATATTTAATGCGCAGCTCAAACAGCCAAGAGAATTAGAAATGGTGATATGTTGCCGGCAATGGTTATTGTTGGCGGCAATGGTGATATGTTGTCGGAAATGGTGATACGTTGCCGGCAATGGTGATATGTTGGCGGCAATGGTGATATGTTGGCGGCAATGGTGATATGTTGGCGGCTATGGTGATATGTTGGCGGCAATGGTTATTGTTGCCGGCAATGGTTATTGTTGCCGGCAATGGTTATTGTTGCCGGCAATGGTTATTGTTGCCGGCAATGGTTATTGTTGGCGGCAATGGTTATTGTTGCCGGCGATGGTGATATGTTGCCGGCAATGGTGATATGTTGCCGGCAATGGTGATATGTTGCCGGCAATGGTGATATGTTGCCGGCTATGGTGATATGTTGGCGGCAATGGTTATTGTTGCCGGCAATGGTTATTGTTGCCGGCAATGGTTATTGTTGGCGGCAATGGTTATTGTTGCCGGCGATGGTGATATGTTGCCGGCAATGGTGATATGTTTCCGGCTATGGTGATATGTTGCCGGCAATGGTGATATGTTGCCGGCAATGGTGATATGTTGCCGGATATGGTGATATGTTGCCGGCAATGGTGATATGTTGCCGGCAATGGTGATATGTTGCCGGCAATGGTGATATGTTGCCGGCTATGGTGATATGTTGCCGGCTATGGTGATATGTTGCCGGCAATGGTGATATGTTGCCGGCAATGGTGATATGTTGCCGGCAATGGTGATATGTTGCCGGCAATGGTGATATGTTGCCGGCAATGGTGATATGTTGCCGGAAATGGTGATATGTTGCCGGCAATGGTGATATGTTGGCGGCAATGGTAATATGTTGCCGGCTATGGTGATATGTTGCCGGCAATGTTGATATGTTTCCGGCAATGGTGATATGTTTCCGGCAATGGTGATATGTTGCCGGCAATGGTGATATGTTGCCGGCAATGGTGATATGTTGCCGGAAATGGTGATATGTTGCCGGCAATGGTGATATGTTGCCGGCAATGGTGATATGTTGCCGGAAATGGTGATATGTTGCCGGCAATGGTGATATGTTGGCGGCAATGGTGATATGTTGCCGGCTATGGTGATATGTTGCCGGCAATGTTGATATGTTTCCGGCAATGGTGATATGTTTCCGGCAATGGTGATACGTTGCCGGCTACGACCAGAGAGCCAGTGACAGCTGTCCCGTAATGGCCGACCGGAGATGGCGTCACGATAAAGGGAGATCAATGCCGAGGGATCCACAAATGTTTACCATAAAAGCGAGAAATGTTTTTCTTTGGAAGGTGGACAACTCCTGGGTTCAGTTCCGTCCCCTGGATCGTATACATGGCTGGTTGGTATCGGTGGATTACAACAATGATCCAGGCGTTGTGGATTACAACGATGATCCAGGCGTTGTGGATTACAACGATGATCCAGGCGTTGTGGATAACCTGGCTCTGGTCGTGTGGCGGATGTTTGCTGTCGTACAGACATGCGCACTGTGAGAGAGAGAGGACTGTAACTAGCAGACGGTGTCTGTTGTTACTACCATCTGAAGTAAATTATGATCAATGGCTGCTGTCAACTGTAATTAGCGGTTTACGTAATAAATACTCTGTATTATGGGGTATGGAGACTGCGTCATTTGGGTCGTGAATATAGCTATTAGCGTGTTATATAATATGTACGTACACGATCCTTAATTAAACACCAGCCTGTATTGTAAACAACATTATGTATGAATACTGGATTATAAACTGTTACGACTTTTGTGTTGGTAATTTATTACCTTCAGAATGTAATGCCTGTCGCGTATGTTCTTCTTATACTGACCGTAATTCTATTTTTTGTCAGTTGTGTAAATAAAGAAGTTCGATCGTCACTTTTATTGGTCGCTGTTAAGTGTGTCTAGTGTGTCTGTCTGTGTGTGTTTTGTGTGTCTGTCTTTGTGTGTTTTGTGTGTCTGCTGGTTTCAGTGTGTCTAATGTGTCTCCAGGTGTCTCTTTGTGTTTAGTATGTCTCTGTGTGTCTAGTGTGTCTCTGTGTGTCTATGTGTATCTCTGTGTGTCTAGTGTGTCTCTGTGTGTCTAGTGTGTCTCTGTGTGTCTAGTGTGTGTCTAGTGTGTCTCTGTGTGTCTAGTGTGTCTCTGTGTGTCTCTGTGTGTCTAGTGTGTCTCCAGGTGTCTCTTTGTGTTTAGTATGTCTCTGTGTGTCTAGTGTGTCTATGTGTGTCTATGTGTATCTCTGTGTGTCTAGTGTGTCTCTGTGTGTCTAGTGTGTGTCTAGTGTGTCTCCAGGTGTCTCTTTGTGTTTAGTATGTCTCTGTGTGTCTAGTGTGTCTCTGTGTGTCTAGTGTGTCTCTGTGTGTCTAGTGTGTGTCTAGTGTGTCTCTGTGTGTCTCTGTGTGTCTAGTGTGTCTCTGTGTGTCTAGTGTGTCTCTGTGTGTCTAGTGTGTCTCTGTGTGTCTAGTGTGTGTCTAGTGTGTCTCCAGGTGTCTCTTTGTGTTTAGTATGTCTCTGTGTGTCCAGTGTGTCTAGTGTGTCTCTGTGTGTCTAGTGTGTCTCTGTGTGTCTCTGTGTGTCTAGTGTGTCTCTGTGTGTCTCTGTGTGTCTAGTGTGTCTCTGTGTGTCTAGTGTGTCTATGTGTGTCTAGTGTGTCTCCATGTGTCAAGTGTGTCTCCATGTGTCTAGTGTGTCTCCATGTGTCAAGTGTGTCTCCATGTGTCTAGTGTGTCTCTGTGTGTCTAGTGTGTGTCTAGTGTGTCTCTGTGTGTCTCTGTGTGTCTAGTGTGTCTCTGTGTGTCTAGTGTGTCTCTGTGTGTCTAGTGTGTCTCTGTGTGTCTAGTGTGTGTCTAGTGTGTCTCCAGGTGTCTCTTTGTGTTTAGTATGTCTCTGTGTGTCTAGTGTGTCTCTGTGTGTCTAGTGTGTCTCTGTGTGTCTAGTGTGTCTCTGTGTGTCTAGTGTGTCTCTGTGTGTCTAGTGTGTCTCTGTGTGTCTAGTGTGTCTCTGTGTGTCTAGTGTGTCTCTGTGTGTCTAGTGTGTCTATGTGTGTCTAGTGTGTCTCCATGTGTCAAGTGTGTCTCTGTGTGTCTAGTGTGTCTCCGTGTGTCTAGTGTGTCTCCATGTGTCTAGTGTGTCTCCATGTGTCAAGTGTATCTCCATGTGTCTAGTGTGTCTCTGTGTGTCTAGTGTGTCTCTGTGTGTCTAGTGTGTCTCTGTGTCTAGTGTCTCTGTGTGTCTAGTGTGTCTCCGTGTGTCTAGTGTGTCTCCGTGTGTCTCCGTGTGTCTAGTGTGTCTCCATGTGTCAAGTGTGTCTCCATGCGTCTAGTGTGTCTCTGTGTGTCTGGTGTGTCTCTGTGTGTCTAGTGTCTCTGTGTGTCTAGTGTGTCTCCGTGTGTCTAATGTGTCTATACCGTTGTATCATAACCTAACAGCATCGACCCATTGTACAAAAAAAAATATCATTCACATTGTATTATAACCTAACAACATCAATTCCACCATATGATAACTAAACAACATCCACACATTGTACAACAAACAACATCAATCCCACCATATGATAACCTAACAACATCAATCCCACCATATGATAACTTAACAACATCAATTCCACCATATTATAACATAACAACATCAATCCCACCATATTATAACATAACATCAATTCCACCATATAATAACTTAACAACATCAATTCCACCATATGATAACTTAACAACATCCACACATTGTACAACAAACAACATCAATTCCACCATATTATAACATAACAACATCAATCCCACTATCCCACCATATTATAACATAACAACATCAATCCCACCATATGATAACACAACAACATCAATGCCACCATATGATAACATAACATTATCAATCCATTCTACCGCCGGCTCTACGATCTTCCTACTCATCTAACATTACCCTGGAGAAAAAATCTTATTGTACAATTCTCACCATTTGTTTCTCTCTTTCAACAGTGAAACATCGCTCATTTTGACCAGTGAAACACGGCACATTTTGACCAGTGAAACACGGCACATTTTGACCAGTGAAACACGGCACATTTTGACCAGTGAAACACGGCACATTTAGGTGACAATAAACAACTACAATCGATCCAGTCAGTCAGGGAGGGAGGCGTCCTCTAAATGGCCGGATTACCGTCTTGGAGTCAATAATCCACTTCACAAAAGGGGCGACAATAAAAGACTCCAGACCCAGCAATGTACGGCCCAAAATGGCCACCCTGGGATACCTCGGCTAGATGATGCCTTAAAAATGTAGCCAAGTTTTTTTTACACTAGCCATGAAGAAACAGAACTGATCTTTATTTAGGAATTAACATGGAAACTACGGAGCCATATTTCTTCCTTAATTCCACAGTCGTGGAGACGTTTATTCGACAGACGACAGCTCCACCAAATGAAGTGTTTATAGCACCGAGTTTCCCAACATCCGGTGGCTCTCTCCAAATCTATAACGACACGTCCTCGTTCAACTCAAGCGAGACAACTTTTCTTGACGCGCGGCATCCTGACCTGGCCACCCCATCCGTCAAGCAGACGTCAACGCCAGCCCCGCCCACGCGGGTGTGGGACGCCCTTGAATCTCTCATCTCGTCTAATCTTCCATTTAATCACGCCAGTCTCCACGGCTCTACATCCCGGTCCAGAACTGACCAGTTCTCTGATTCTTCCCCGGATTATTCCCTCCCTGAAGTGTCCAGTCTAATATCTGATAATGGCCAGAACTCCAGTCTCCTGGAGCTGGTCAGCTTGTCCCCCCCGGCCGCTGACCGCTTCAATTGGACCTCCCCAGCCCGGGACCTCTTCATGACTAAAACATTCTTGTCAAACCTGACAGCGGACGAGAGCGAGAACGTGACCTTGACCTATGATCTGACCCCGCTGCTGACCCTGCTGACCTCCCCGACCCCCCAGGTCGTGGTGGACGAGAGCGCCAGTCACGTGTCCTGGGTCGACGTGGGTAAGGTGCTCGTGCTGACCCTCATCTCCGTCTTGGGCTTTTTGGGCAATGTCAAGGCCATCTGGAGTGTCGTCAAGGTAAGGCGAGGTGTCCATATAGACACAGGGTGTAAGTGTGGGGGTCATTAGTGTGGGACCCGTAAGTGCGGGGCCCGTAGTGTGGGGGTCGTAACTGAAAAAGTTTATTGTTGTTCTATTTGTTGGTCTGGCGTTCTTCTATGAACACCTACATGGCTATACAACATGTCGGTATCGCACCAACAGCACAACACAACATGTCGGTATCGCACCAACAGCACAACACAACATGTCGGTATCGCACCAACAGCACAACACAACATGTCGGTATCGCACCAACAGCACAACACAACATGTCGGTATCGCACCAACAGCACAACACAACATGTCGGTATCGCACTAACAGCACAACACAACATGTCGGTATCGCACCAACAGCACAACACAACATGTCGGTATCGCACCAACAGCACAACACAACATGTCGGTATCGCACCAACAGCACAACACAACATGTCGGTATCGCACTAACAGCACAACACAACATGTCGGTATCGCACCAACAGCACAACACAACATGTCGGTATCGCACCAACAGCACAACACAACATGTCGGTATCGCACCAACAGCACAACACAACATGTCGGTATCGCACCAACAGCACAACACAACATGTCGGTATCGCACCAACAGCACAACACAACATGTCGGTACCGCACCAACAGCACAACACAACATGTCGGTATCACAACAACAGCACAACACAACATGTCGGTATCGCACCAACAGCACAACACAACATGTCGGTATCGCACCAACAGCACAACACAACATGTCGGTATCGCACCAACAGCACAACACAACATGTCGGTATCGCACCAACAGCACAACACAACATGTCGGTATCGCACCAACAGCACAACACAACATGTCGGTATCGCACCAACAGCACAACACAACATGTCGGTATCACAACAACAGCACAACACAACATGTCGGTATCGCACCAACAGGACAATACAACATGTCGGTATCGCTGTTAAGGTTGAGGCTAGAATCATGGTTAAACCACGTGGTGTGGTCAAGTTTTAGAAGGAAAGTCAGAACCCCCAAACTCACGTGAACTTTTATAAACAATGGTGGAAAACTTGTGCGCTTCACCAAATCATGATCCCTTGGGTGGGCGGGGGTGGTGGTTGCACTGTAGCTATGACATCATTTGGCTGGTCAAGAGTTTTGTGATCACGTGAACTGGGGTTAGGGCAGCATCTCATCAATGTAGGGTCGACAACCCATACGTAGAATTAGCGTCTATATGAGTACCGGAGAGGAGGTACATGAATAAATAAACACACAAAGAAACTTACAACTAGTTATGCAGCCATTATTGTTTTCATTATTTTCATTTTTTTATACAAAAAGGGGTTGAATCAAATAATTAATTTGTAGTGTTTTTCTTTGCCTTAATTTCTTTGTGATCAAGATCTAATGTCATACTTCTGTTGTATTTAAGATCTGATGTATGCTAACTTTAGCTCACTCTTCCAGCGCTGCTATGCCCATTTTACTCACCATTTTTCTTGTCCTTACTGCCCGACAGGAGCGCCACCTACACAGACCACCTTTCTACTTCCTGTTGAGTCTGGGAGTGACGGACTTGTCCAGGGCAGTCTTTTGTGTCCCCGTCGTCATAGCAACCGTTCTACACGGAGCCAGATGGAGGTAATGTCTAACTAGATCAATGTGTACATAGATCAGTTCATATTTTATAATGGCTAATGTTAGCAGTAGAACAAATTATAGTCTATAATTTTATATAAATTCATATATATATATATATATATATGTATATATATATATATATATATATATATATATATGAATGTATATACTTAAAGCCACCTTATTCATAGAAATATAGAACAAAGAAAATTCCCGGCAGAGTTGAATAACATTGCTCCGTACCACGTCTGAACCAGTATTTGACAAAACAAAAATGAAATGATAATCAGCCCCACAGACGTCCGTACCAGCCCTACACTGTACGCCAATTAGCACTGAACAAAGGCCATTGTGGTGCTTATCATTGTAACCGTTTTCAAATTTCAATTCATTTGGGTTTTATTTTTTAATTCTATTTGCTTTACTTCAGCTATAATGTTGTATTGCGTATTGGATCAATTGTGCACTACATATGGTGGACTCAAAGCAAATGTTTAATTAGCTAGATCAATTCTGCACTTACACGGAACTCAATGTAAATGGCAAAGCCAAAGAACATGCAGGGAAATAGATTTAATTAAACTCACTAATCAATTAAACTCACGAATCAATTATGTTCGCCTCTATCACCCGGTGGGTGAGCGGATATCACGCACGTGCTTTAGGTGTACTCATTACACCACGAGTTGATACCCACGTGATCAACACGAGTTGATACCCACGTGATCAACACGAGTTGATACCCACGTGATCAACACGAGTTGATACCCACGTGATCAACACGAGTTGATACCCACTTGATCAACATGAGTTGATACCCACGTGATCAACATGAGCTCTTACGTCACATGCACGTGACACGGGTATTGCTCACTTCATTAAACACCTTGTATCGTCTGCCATGGCTACACCAACTCCCGGCCACTCCCCTCCCCCACCCCACGAAGCGCCTGTCATCTCTGACTAACCCCAATGTGTTTCTCCCCTCAGTCGAGAGCCTCTCATCACCGATTCAATTCCACGCTAATCCTCTGAGCGTATTCCTATGTTGAGCACTAATTGCGATTCGGCTCTCCAAATCGCACCACGCATGGTTGCACAATGCACGCTTAATTCTTCTAATACCGGCAGGGGAAATTTTTTTCCCTCTCCCTAATACGGCTTCATTGTCTTCGATCATCTCATAAACGTGTTATTTAAACTTGGAATGTTTTGTTTCGTTTAATTTTTTTGTCTAAACTCGTGTTGAGTTTTTAATTTACCGAATTGTTTTTTGTATTTTCAGCCACGGTGAGTCAGCCTGCAAGTTGTTCGCTTTCGCTACATCGTTCTTCGTCTTCAGTTCGGCCCTGTCTCTCCTCGCCATCGCCATCGACCGCCACATCTCTATCGTCTACTCCAAGACCTATCGTCGACGCTCGCTGGGCGTGGCCAACCTTGTCGCCGCCATCGTCATATGGGTCATCGCCTTCTCCGTGTCGTTCCCGCCCGTGGTGGGGGTGGGGGACTACGTGTTTATTCCCGACGAGGCGCAGTGCGCCTACCAGCACAAACACTACTCACACAACGACTCCGTGGCTTCGGTCTTGGTCTTCCTCGTCATTCTCTTCTTGACCTACTTTCTCTACTTCAGGATCTTCCGGTTTCTGCGAGCCCATCGGCGCATGCGCCCCCTTCAGCACACCCCTGCCCGAAGTACGAGCTGGGCTTTTCTCGGCCCAGGGGCTAACGGCCAGGCGTTCATTAACTGGCTAAACGGATTCGGGGGTCAAGTGCCGGCCCGGCATGGGGGTCAGAGAACAGTACAGAGACTCAACTTTGGGCGAGTGGTCAATTTATCGACTGCCAAAAATGAGCACTTGACCAGGCTGTTCCTGGTGCTGACCCTGGTGTTCGGGGTGTCCTGGGCCCCATACGTCATACTCTCGCTGTGGAGGATATTCTTCGACACGACGTCACTTCCGTCTGCCTACGTCACAGCTGCCGCCTGGTTGGCGTACGGGCAGGTGGCCGTGTGTCCAATCGTCTACTTCCTGTGTCGAGGTCACTCCAAGAAGGTCACACGGACGGTGTATTCGCACGCCGAGAAGCGAGAATTCCTGCTGGAAAATAAAATAGGAAAATAAACAATTCATTATCGTTATCTAAGTATTTATTTATGTAAATACATGTATAATAATGAAGTTATTATGTAAATTGATCTTATAGATTAATTAGTTTCGATGATTTGATAATTACATAACGAGCGATAAATTAGAGAAAATGTAGATCTCATTGGTGTGCAAGTTAATGATTAGCTCCACAGTTCGTCTTAGGCTGTGTTGTTGAGGACAAATCGTGGACTGGATTACAAATTTCTGAGCTTAACAAAGACTGATTTAACATTCAAATGTAATTTAAAGATTTTCACAAAAAGTGGAGTGTTTTCTTGTTAATTAGAGTCCATTTATAGCGTTTTTTTAAGATCTATTTTATTTTTAGAAACTAGGAATGTGTAAAAATATAACAGTATATCAATATTTAGGTTTTAAAAATAAATAGCACCATAATTAATATTTCCGTTCCCGTCGCTCATAATTAAGTCGACCACTCTTTCGAGTATTATAATTATAAGCTTGAAATCCAATTTGTAGATTGTGATAAATAAATTCTGAACGATAATTATTTGGCCATTATATTATTTTCCCCTATATCATCTCGGGCTATTTTGTACTGCTATATATTATCTCCCCTATATTATCTTTCCCTATATTATCTTCCCCTATATTATCTCCCCTTATATTATCTCCTCTTATAATATCTTTCCATTTATTATCTTTCCCTTTATTATCTTTACCTTTTATTATCTTTACCTATATTATCTTCCTTATAATATTTCTTCGTGTATTATCTCCCCTTATATTATATTCCCCCTATATTAACTCCACTTGTATTATCATCCCTTGTATTAACTTTCTTTATATTAACTTCCTCTATATTATCTTTCCCTATATTATCTCCCTTTATATTAACTTCCCCTCTTTTTATCTTCCCCTATATTATCTCACCTTATATTATCTTTCCCTTTATTAACTTCCCCTATATTATTTCCCCTTTATATTATCCTCACCTATATTATCTCCCCCTGATTAGCGTCAGCCTTGTCTCTGAGATGTGTGAACACCTGACATGAAAATACATACCCTGATGTCTATCAAGCTACCATATTCCTCTTGTCAATTTTAACGTTGATCTTTACACAATTCTAATTAGATTGAAGAGTAGATATTCTTGCGTTGTCGTCAGAAATGAACTTATCAACCATTTTTTGCAAGAATTATCTCAATTACAAATGGTTTAAAATTGAGTCACAAAATTTGACACAACTTACCCACCCGCAGATAATGGGACTGTCGAAAAAGCTTGTTAAAAAACGTTTTCAAAATCTGGTATCAACGTAGGCTATTTGACTTAATCTGGCCTGGCTATTTGACTTGCTCAACACAAGACGATAAGACCATTTTGACACAAGACAACAAGACCATTTTGACACAAGACGATAAGACCATTTTGACACAAGACAATAAGATCATTTTGACACAAGACAATAAGACCTTTTGACACAAGACAATAAGACCATTTTGACACAAGACAATAAGACCATTTTGACACAAGACAATAAGACCATTTTGACACAAGACAATAAGACCTTTTGACACAAGACAATAAGACCTTTTGACACAAGACAATAAGACCTTTCGACTTCTCATTACGAAGACCCACGTAGTCTAAATTTACCGCGAGCCAGTAGTCGGTCCGTCTAACAAGAATCGACGAGCATATAGTAATCGTTCCATCGTAACGAGAATCGATGAACACGGAGTAATCGTTCATTCGTAACAGGAATCGATAACCCAGGAATCAGACCTCCCGCTCTTGTGGAGATTCCCCATTTTGGCCGTGCTTATAGATCCTGCTCTAGTCACATGACCCGTTGTAAGCCTTCCCAGAGTTCCAAGTCTATATTGTCCTGGAGTTGTCCTGCTGGTCTATGTCCTACTGTCCTGTCCACAAAAGGTAAAAAAAAATGTCTCAACATCTCCATTTCTTTAGATTTCACTGAAATGTTCCTTTTAAATTTTCCTCTAGTGTTATACCCTACTAGAAATGGATCACATATCTTAATAGTCTCGGACTTTTAATCTTAGATACCGATAATCCGTCTCTAAATTTTAACACTCTACTACAGTAGATCATCCCACTACAATAGATCATCCCACTACAATAGATCATCACAATACAATAGATCATTATACTACAATATATCATCACACTCTTCAAGAAATTAAAACAAAAAAACAAAACTAAGGGAAGTAATTACTAAGATGTGTTGGCTTATCACTGCTTCAAATGGTCCTTTATTTTCTTAATATATTCTTTCTATTGACTTATTCAGTCAATTCCACGACTACTTGGTCCTATGTCCTCTCATGTCCTCTCCTGTATGTGCACGCGACACGTGTAAACAGTGTCTAGACCTGAGTTATGGACTTGACCTCACCCCGCCAGAAACATTGAGTACTCACCCTTGTTCAAGAACCCTAACTCGGCTTGTTTAAAGAAACGTAACTCTGCTATTGACTTTTCGTACAATCATCTGTTGAAACAAATGAGATTGGGGGAGAATGGGGCAGGGAGGGGCGGGCAGCTGGGCCAACTAAGAGAGGACGTTTGATGAAGCTCCGGTGGGGCGGGGAGGGGGGGGGGGGTGGTACCGGGGGGGGGGGGAGACGACTTGTCTTGTGAGTTGAAGTCAGCTATTTACAAGTCCGCCGCGTTACACCGTCTCTAGAATAATGTTGTGATGATACAATGATATTTCAGCATCACATAAATTGATGTTGCGTACCAGACAAATGGGTGTTGTGTTTTCGAGATAATGTGGAGTCACTTAACCAAATGATGTATATTGTCTAGCGTTGTAAATCAACTCAAAAAAGTAGCCCCCCCCCCCCTACACACACACACACACACACACATACATCCAGCGCTGATGTTAGATGTAAGAATTTATTTTCTACAAAACTGCCACTACTTGTAAGAAAATAATTCCACATAGAATAATAAATAACCATAAACATGAATCATTTAACATTACATACACAAACCAGACAATAACAGACCACAACATAATATAATTAACACGAACACAACATAAACATACTCATACATCTCACTGAAGGATTGCGTCAGACCAACTTTACTTCTTAATATTTGGACTACTGTAGGGCCTTTAGCCGTAGCTTTCACAAACTGGAGGTGTTAGTATGACTAGCATTATTGTGTATTTTATATTTTGACATCTTTGTTCATAGCTGTACCCAGGAGTATTACCACGTGACAACTCTGTCTACTATCCCTGAATAGCCATTGGCTGTTTTATGCACGTGATTAAGTAAAGGCAAGTCATTTCCGTGTGTTGAAGAGTTCAATCAATAAACTCAAGAGTTACCGGTCTTTAAGATCTTCATCAAACAAGAGCACTGCACGAAAAGTAACATTTTGTTAACGAATAACTAGAGAATAAATTCCAACAATTTTAAATTTTGTTCTTGTAGATTAAACAATAATTCTTTATTGAATTTTTTTTTAAAATGTTGTTGACAAAAGCTTGCTACCAGAGATGTTGTGTTGAATCGTTTAGCTCCGTATGTGCATCGTTTATCCCCCCTGATGTGCCGGCGACAACTCACAATCGTATTGTCATACATCCACTGTGGCGTTTACGCAAATAGCTGTATTAAAAACGGCTCACATCACGTGACATTTGAGCTCCCGATTTGTTCCCCAGCTGGAAATGCATTCCTGTACATGATATTTTTACCCAAGTGCGGCGAATCTGTGATTTGAGATTATGTAAATCATTGATTGATCTCCCCTGTCCAATACAAACCGTATGCATAATCGATACAAAGTTCTCTCCCCTTGATTTCTCGACCATCTTTTTGTGTGAGGGCATTCGTGTCTCTGTCTTTTGTATTGTGTACTTCTCTGTCTTATATTGTGTACATCTTCTGTCTCTTACATCATTTATATCTGTCTCTTATATTTCTGTCTTTTGTAGTGCTTACTACTTTGTATCTTATATTGTGTACATCTTGTCTCTTACATCATTTATATCTATCTCTTATATTTCTGTCTTTTGTACTGCTTACTACTTTGTATCTTATATTGTGTGCAATTGTGTCTCTAATAGTGTGTACACTTGTACCTCGTATACTGTGTTAATATATGTCTCTTATACTGAGTACATTTATTTATCTTATATAGTGTTGATTTATGTTCCCTGTATTGTCTACTATATAAATGTCTCTTATATTGTTGGGACTACGACTCTTATAGTATGTAGGCCTACACCTAGGTTTCCATGTAATGTTTATGTACACTTTGTGTAAGAATTTTCACCCACCGTGTACATTAATCTGAACAATTTTACTGTATTGTCCGAATCTTTAAAACTTCGCAATGGTAGTAGTTTAGTATTTCATGACGTCATTTAATTAAATGCATAAGGGACATAACTGTGTTAAACACGAATTTAAAATGCAATTATTTTTTCCAAGTACTGTTTGTAATTTTGTGATGAATCTTGGTGCTATGAGAGCAAGCAGATATTTTCTTCTGATATTTGTAAACATTCATGTTTTAAAGTTTGTCAACATTGATAGGCTTTAAACGTTCATGTTTTAAAGTTTGTCAACATTGATAGGCTTTAAAGTCAACGTTCATGTTTTAAAGTTTGTCAACATTGATAGGCTTTAAAGTCAACGTTCATGTTTTAAAGTTTGTCAACATTGATAGGCTTTAAAGTCAACGTTCATGTTTGAAAGTTTGTCAACATTGATAGGCTTTAAAGTCAACGTTCATGTTTTAAATTAAAATTCCATTAAACAGGAGATCATCGCCAAGAGATCTTCCGAAACACAATAACGTGTTGTTTAATATGGAACCTTAAATCCTTATGTGTTTATATTCCCTGATTTTATGTTCCCTGATTTTTATGTTCCCTGATTTATTTTATGTTCCCTGATTTTTATGTTCCCTCTGTAATCCTCCCAGTGTCACCTCCCTGTTTACCCCCCCCCCCCGGTGTTACCCTCAAAGTGTCACCACCTTAATGTTCACCCCGCCCCCCAATGTCACCCTCCATACGTTCACCCCCCCCCGCCCAGTGTTACCCTACCTGTGTTCACCCCCCCCCCCACACACACACAGTTACCCTCCCTCTGTTCACCCACCCCACCCCACCCCCCCCCCCCCCCAGTGTTACCCTCCCTGTGTTTACACACCCCCAGTTTCACTCTCCATGTTACCCCC